CATCAATGGTACTATTTATGCATAAATTTTGTACAACTTAATGCGTATATAATACCATTATGTGCATATACGGTATTACTGTACATTCAGTGGTACCATTTGATCATTAATTGATACCAGAATATGCATTCGTTTGTACATAAGTATAATTACATGAATATCCCTTGTTATGCATTTATAAATGCCTAACTTTTCTCAATTTCTAGTTCCTCGTGAAACCACTAGGATCAAACCTTGGCCTAATCCAAGAGCTTGACCAATTGCTATAAGCCCCTTCAAATTTGTACAATCACAATATATATTATTATTATTATTATTATTATTATTATTATTATTTTGACAGGACAATCACAATACATATTTACCCACATATACATTATCTACCATACACGTTTAATCACATATTGACTAATTAAAAAAAAAAAAACACATACTGATCAAGTTTTTCTTTTTTTATAATTGACCAACCATGGGAAGGCAAACCGCACACACATACAATTCTAGTAACGATGTTTTTTCGGTGGGACAAAATTTTACACGTTAACAACTCTCATGCATTGCTGTTATGTTCATTTGCTTCTATTCTTCTTTAGGGGACATTCAACTTCAATTATTTTTACAAAACCAATGGAATTATAGATTAAATATTTATATATTTTCTCAATTCTTTAACCAATGTAACAATAAATAATAAAATACATGTAATTACTAAAATACTCATGATTATGTTGGTGTGAAATAAACTTGGCAAACCCAAGTAAGTTGGCTTTTGTTCTCGTCGAGTGCATGGCGGCAGACAAGCGCAAAACACCAATGCCTTTCGTTTTACGTTATGTAATCTTCTTCACACAAATCAATTTACCACCTTTTAGCTTTGTCAAAAAATTAACTACTACGGTTATTACTATTTACTAAAGTATTGCTAGTGTAGTACTTATTATGTACTTTATTAATTTTAAAATATATGTCACTTTTACTGTTAATTTATGCTTTTTAGTAATTGTCGCTTTTTAACGATAAATTTGATATTTTTTTTTTAATAATGTAATATTCTTGTGGGCAGGGTTCTCTTGCAACTTCACCATAATTGTACAATATCTAGTGTAGCGATTATTACAAAACGAAAGGAGTACTCTAAAATCTATTTGTACGGGGATAATTACATTAACCTCAAATGGCATGCATGCAAGTATCTAGAGCTAGTGACTGTTTTTTCTATCTAGCTATAAAAGGCTAGAAAATAATAACATAAACGAAATTTGATATTAAATTGAAGGATTTTTTGTGAAAAACTACCTTCTATATACAACTTTTTGTGAAAAACTACCTTTTAAAAAAATTGTTGTAAATGACTACCTCTTTTTAAAAAAATGTTGTAAGGGACTATCACTTGCCGGAATCTGGCCGTTGACTCAAATTTTCGGCGTTGACCATCCACGTGCTGGTCACATGACCTTTAATTTTTTTTTTCTTTTTTTCTAAGCATATGCCACCAGCAATGCCGCCATCTTCACCACCGCCCCACCACCACAACACCTCAAAACACCCTTACAACTGCCCTCACGCATCCCAAAACCAACCCAACCCCACTTGAAACCACCTCCACCCCGTCGAATCCAACACAAGCCCTCAATCGCTCCGCAATTCCGCGACCTTAAAACAACAACATCATTAACTTCGTTCCCCTGTCATCACCGAACCACCACACTCCATCTTTACCTCTTGACGCCACCAATGAACACCACCACACCCCACCAAGTTGCAAGTAGTAGCCATACTAACCACCATCCCTACCACGATACACTAACAACAATAGCGCAACAATCAAATTTAAAAATTAATTATTGCAAAAGTACCAAACAATTGAGGAAAGGAAAGGAAGGGTTTTAGATTTCGAGGGTTCGAAGGAGGGTGGGCGGGATTTCGACAACTGAGAAATACGTGGGTGGGTGGGTTTGACCAGAAATTGATAATTTATTTGAGGGTTGGCCGGAAATCAAGAATTGAGGGAAAGGGGTAAGGAGGGCTAGGGATCGGAAAAGGAGCATTGCAGGGGGTGGGGATGGTCGGAAATTGGAAAAAGGGAGGTGGAAGGGCAACAAGCGTGGTAGTCGGCAGGTGTGTAGGGGTTGTCGGAAGCTGGACAAGGGAGGGGGAGGTGACGGCGAGGGAGTAGGGTGGTCGAAGATTAGAAAAGGGAGGAGGAGGAGGGAGTGGGGTGGTCGAACACGGGAAAAAGCCGCCAAATGGTTTAGTCAACACCGGAAAAGTGAGTCAACGGTGGGATTCTGGCAAGTGGTAGTCATTTACAACATTTTTAAAAAAAGAGGTAGTCATTAACAACATTTTTTAAAAAAGAGGTAGTCATTTACAACAAATTTTTTAAAAGGTAGTTTTTCACAAAATGTTGTATATAAAAGGTAGTTTTTCACAAAAAATCCTAAATTTAATTACTATATTACTTATACGACTTTAGATTTATCTTTTCAATAATTGTAAATTTTACATCGACTGTATTTGTCTAATATAAAACGGAGGGAGTAACGTGTGTAGGAACTAGGAACTCGATCTGTCATCCTCTGCCTCACTTGAAGTGCACCGGCTTCCTCCCCTTGGAACCCTTTTGCATTGTTATAGGCACATAGAATCCGTCAAAACAATTTATTCTGTCAACAAAGTTCTTGCCTCGTGATTTTCTTTGATCTATTGGTAAATACAACTTAGACACATGCTTTTCACGAAGCTTCATGCAAAGCTACATTGATCTGATCTATTAAAGTGCCATTTGTATCAATTTGTTTTAAATTGTAAAGGACCATTTATGCACTTAATTACTCCGTATTATTAATTTTGTAATTTATATTAAAAAAATAATAATAAATAAAAAAAAACTAGTGAATTATAATTCACTCTACGATCTCAGCGTGGTTATGTAAAAATATTGCTCATAAATTGTGAGTCGATGAGACCTAGTCCATGGGCAGTAGATTTATTAATAACTTAGAATTTAAAGAAGTATTTCTTATGTGATTTATCTAATAACTACCCAAAAGATAGGTTTCTTTTCAAGTTAAGAGACCCAAATAATATCCAAAATTATTCTCTAATAGGAATAAACAAGTCATGAAAAATCAAACAATTTAAATTTACACCTTCAATTGGTCTCGGCTCCTAGATTGCATGAATGTGCTGAATTAAACAAAACCCCAGCACTAGGGGTGACATGGCCGAACATGCCATTTTTGACACAACTTGCTCATAGATTGTATAGGTGGCTCTTTGTAAAACGGTGATAACTTAGGGCCTGTTCTCATACGTTGAAATTCAGTTCAGTTCAGCTCAGTTTAGTTCAGTTCAGTTCATCTAAATTCAGTTCAGTTCAGCTCAGTTCAGTTCAGCTGAGTTCAGTCAATGAGAACATGCCCTTAGCTTAAGCAATTTTATTTTATTTTTTGCCAAAAAACACACTTGTATGTAATTTATTTGTCTTTGAAAAGTTATTGAGCTAAGTTGTTTACCACTTTACCTCTAGCAAACTTGAATTACTTTAAAATTATAAGTATTTTGATATATATATATATATATATATATATATATATATATATATATATATATATATATATATATATATATATATATATATATATATAGCGCGCGCCATCCCTTTATATCATTCATGTTGGATATCTTTCTGTTCTAAATTTTAAATCTGATGTTCTAAACTTTTCCACAAGGGTTCTAAATTAAATCAGATGTTCTAAATTAGTAATCACATGGTCTAAACCATAACTTAGTTAAGTTTGATGTTATAAATTTTAAATAACTTGTTCTAAAATTTTGAATCATATGTTCTAAATTTCAAAAAGTGTGTTCTAATATTTTTAATCATTTATCCTAGATTTTAAAACATATGTTCTAATTTTTACTCATATGTTCAAAATTTTTTACTCGTGTTCTAAATTTTTAAATTTTTATTCACATGTTCTAAATCTTAAATCAAATGTTCTAAATTTCATAAAGCAAATTTTCTTAATTTTTACTCACATGTTCTAATTCTTAAATCAGATGTTCTAAATTATTACTCACACAGATATTCTAAATTATTACCCATATATTCTAAACTTTAATTTGAGTCACATGTTCTAAAATTTTACTCAAATGTTCTAAGTTTTAGGTACTTCTCATATAAGTATTTGATCTTACATATGGGTTTATTCTCAATGGATCCATCCCCTATTCGTATATAACCTAATAAAAGAGAACTCGATACTTCAAACCGTTTATTTATTCATAACATATTGCAACACCAGATTTATAGTTTATACCTGAACTCATTGAAAACTATATTCAATTATTATTTTATAACTGTAAAATTTATTAATTATTGTTAGAGATATGAGATATCGGAAAATATATATGTATCTCATATCTCTAACAATTATCTAACATTTCTTACTCAATATAGCTTGCCAATAAATCACACGTTGATTAATTCTAAGTTTTATTATTAGGAAAGAGATTTAGCAATGCATACCAAAGAAGCAATAAACCTCATTTAATTTATTGACTTTAGGATGATATTCAACAATTACTTGGTACATTGGGAAGGCTAAATAAAGAAAAGTAAACAATAAGAAACTCCAGCTCTAATCCAATCTATCCCAATAGAGTTCGATCACGAGGTAGAGTTTCATGAAAAACAATGCATTTTACATATACTTCATACTATATACGATTTGAAATTAAATGTGTATATGTTTTATACTCCGTATTAATTTATAGAATAACGTGAGAAAGAAGTACGTACGCATGTGTTTATAGAATTGAGATTGTAGTTCATATAGCTAAGACTTTGGCCTTAAATAAACAATATAAAATAAATTTACTACATTGAATCCATCAAATTATTAATTTCAACCTAGGTTGTAACAATTTTAGGACCTCTATATAAAATCTTCTTCTGGTATTCTTCAATACTATTATTATTCTTTCACCTTTGTGTAGTTGAAAGAACAAACATACCCATTTTAATTTTCTGCAAGCACAAGATGATGCATGTTTCTCCTCCCTATTTACTTTCACTACTTCTCGTTTGCTTCTTTGTTGGCACCACCGCGAAGATCACAACTTCAATCCCTCACAATGGTACGTCCTTTAATTGAGTTTTTGTATGGATTTTTTTCTTTATTGGTATGAAATTGCATGCATGGTTATTTGGGAGTTAATAAGCTTTTTAATTCATATAATTAATACCAAATAGGTTTCTTCAAACACAAATAATTAACAAAGAGGTTTATATATATATATATATATATATATATATATATATATATATATATATATATATATATATAGTCAATAGTAAGGTGATTTTGCAAATAATTAAATGAGTTGAGGCTAGTTTTTTTTTAGGCTAAATAGCTAATTATTAGCCACAAAACATTGAATAGAAAACTAAGTTATTATTTTCTCTTTTATGGACGTACTCGTACTTCAAAGAGACCTGGCAAATTATATTGTCAATACGAGTAATCACTAATACATACTGTACGTATAACTATATAGGGAAGACTAGAGTATCATATACCATACGATCCACACCCAATACTACGTACTTAATCAACTATGGACTTATAGAGTAAGATATATACAGTAGTTGACATCATAGGTGGCAAATAGGGAGTACCCGTGGCTTTAATCTTAAAGCCGCATGATGTAACTACTGTATATTTATAGCTAGGTTTGGTTCGGACTCCCTATTTTATTTAGTCTGATCCATTAAAAAGTCGAGAATTAAACTAGCTATTATATTGAAATACTACCTCCGTTACATATTAGTTGCAACTTTAGAATATTTTATCTCTCACAAATAATCCCCAAAGTTGCAACTAATATGTAATGGAGGTAGTATATACTTAGATTGGTATGTACTTTGTATCATTGACACTGTAATTGACATATTTATTCGAAATTCTTCCTTAATTACTTTAATTTGTTGGTTGATTGGATGTTTTAATTATTTGATCTCCATTTCTTAGGTGGAATTGCTTCCAGAAAAGACATTACGCTTTCTTATACAAAGGTATAATTTCAATTACGTACCTTCATCCGCATGCACCCAACAATATTAATTTAGCATACAATATTTACAATTTTCTTATAAATTACAAAATACATCATGCAAATAAAAACACGGCAGTCTTTTTTTCATGTATTTTTAAAAAATTGTAAATGAAACAAAATACATCATGTAATGTATTTGAAGAATGGGTGGACGAGATTTGAACCCATTATCTTTATGTCATGTGACTCTGATACCATGCCATGTTAGGACCAACTCAACCAAAAGCTTAAGCTGATGGTTGATGCCCAAGAATATGTTTTATACTCTGTCATATATGTCAAATTCATTACCATTACTATCATTTAATATTTACATTCGAATAATTATACATATCTCTATATCGCAAAATATATAGGGTATAGCCATATATACGTATTTTATTAGTTAAGCACACAATTAGATATGTGCAAAGCTCTTAAATGACATATTTTATACAGGTAACACCAATGATAAAAACTAGCACCGCTACTAGTAAGCTAAACAAGCTTGAAGGAGAGGCGATAAGCTGGGTGATGAATCATCGTACAAGAAGTTTGAATCAAGTGAACATGGAAGTAGTAGAGACTCCAAATAAGAAGTCATCTACAAAAAACAATGTAGTTGTTACAAAATGCGACAATGTATCTTCAAAGGTTTCATCAAAATCAATATCCTCGTCGACTAAAGAAGGTTCAAGTAATGAAAAATGTCAAAAACTTGGAAGAAAACTTATACCAAGAAAACAAGATATGGATACTTTTGTAGCTTATGCTGATTATCGTGGACCGCAACGTCATCCGCCAAGGAACAACTAAGGATAATAATTAATCAAATATGCATGAATTACTTAATTAATACAAGCTTGATCTCTATAGATTTTTGTTTTGGTTGCACCATTAAAAATGGTTTTATAAAACTGTACGTTTTTTTTTATATCTATCGTTTTTTTGTACTTTGATTTATCTTTTGTTTGTTGTTTGTAATCTTATATAGTATACCTATGTCTTTTAAGTAACAAAGATTGTCATCAAGACCTAAGTTTTTCCCTAATGTCTAACATTTTGTAGTTGTATGCTACCAAACTATTACAATAAAAAAAATTCCTTCTTAAAGTCGTCGATCAATCTTTGAAATTATACTATGATGAAGGAAAAAAGAGAAGCTTTTATTCTATATATACGCACTCTTGGAGTAATTAATGTTCGTTAATCCAAAACAAAAGAGGAGAAGAGGAAAATCAAAAGGGGAAAAAAAGTGAGGAGTTAGGGTGTTGTGCGACAGCGGAAGCAAAGGTCGAAAACAAACAAGAAAACAATAAAGAAATTCAATGCAAACAATAAGAACAACACCAAGAATTTACGTGGTTCACTATCGATGTGATAGCTACGTCCACGGGCACCGAGATCGAATGATTTCACTATAAACTGCAAAGATTACAAAGATGATTCTTGTATTTCTCAAGAACGGCTCTCACTCTATCTCTCTTCACCCTAATACTGATATTAGGGAGGTTTTATATTAATCCCTAATTAAAAGATACTTGGGCAAAAAGATAATAAAATAAGATAACCTAAAACCGCAAAATCCGCGTTCCGTATTTTTCCTTCTCCGCCCGGTCAGACCGGGCAAGGTCTGCCCGATCGGGCGAAGGCTCGCCCGGTCGGGCGAAGGCTCGCCCGGTCGGGCGCGAGAGCAGCTTCTTCAACGAATTTGCCAGGCACCTCTTCTTCTTCCGCCCGGTCAGACCGGGCAATGTCCGCCCGATCGGGCGGACAAAGCTACGAAGTACGAGTCACCTAATATACTTATCAACAATCTCCACCTTGACGAGAACTCGTAGTCAGCAAACGACCCCATCAAGACATAGTGAAAAAACATCTCAAGCCAAACCCGATGCAGGACTCATGCATAAGCCATACATCCCGATAAGTCTTCAACCAAGACCCATCACATACTCGTCTCCAAGTATAACAACTCATAATGCTCCACCTGCATCACAAGCCCCGGGCAAGCTCCACCTTAATGCCAACACACCTACACCAGGAGCTCCCCAACTTCGCCCCTCAGGGCCTACTACATCACGTAGTAATCAATATTTAGCAAGTCTAAGCAATGTTTAAACTTGCTAAACGGAACAGGCTTAGTGAAGAAATCAGCCGGGTTGTCAGCAGTCCCAATCTTCTTCACCTTAATCCTCTTGTCAGTACGCAAGAAATGATACCTGACATCAATGTGCTTCGTCCGATCATGGTGTACTTGATCTTTAGCTAAGCAAATCGCACTTAGACTATCACAATACACTGTAGCAAAATCCTGTGCAATACCCAGTTCACCTACTAGGCCTTTGAGCCAAATAGACTCCTTAGCTGCAGAAGTTAAAGCCATATACTCAGCTTCAGTAGTTGACAACGTAACTGATGACTGCAATGTAGACTTCCAACTAACCACAGAACCACCCAAAGTGAACACATAACCAGTCACAGACCTCCTGGTATCCACATCAGCTGCATAATCAGAATCACTGTACCCAGTGACCAAGCATTCCCTACCATTCCCGTACACAAGACCAATATCAGCTGTCCCTCTCAGGTAGCGAAAAATCCTTTTCACCCCTTGCCAGTGTTCCCTCCCAGGTCGAGCCATAAACCTGCTTACAACACTAACAGCATGCGCAATATCCGGCCTAGTACAGACCATAGCATACATCAAACAACCAACCGCGTTTGCATATGGAACTCTAGACATATAAGACAACTCCTCCTCTGATTGAGGTGACATAGACAAAGACAACTTACAACTAACAGTAGTTGGCGTACTTATAGGCTTCGATTTTTCCATCCCAAAACGAGACAGAATCTTTTCAATGTAGCTTTTCTGAGTCAAGAAAAGCTTACCTCTAGCCCGATCCCTGTAGATCTCCATACCCAAAATCTTCCTAGCTGCACCCAAGTCTTTCATGTCAAACTCCGAGTTAAGCATCTCCTTTAATCTAGCAATATCAGATTTATTCTTTGTGGCAACCAACATGTCATCAACATATAACAAAAGATAAATCATGGAACCATTATCCAGCTTACTATGATACACACAGCAATCATATGAATTCCTGTCAAAACCTTGTGAAACCATAAAAGAATCAAACCTTTTGTACCACTGTCGGGGGGATTGCTTAAGTCCATACAATGACTTTAGCAATCTGCAGGCATAGTGTTCCTTTCCAGGAACTTCGAATCCTTCGGGCTGCTTCATCAGAATCTCCTCCTCCAAATCGCCATGAAGGAAAGCCGTTTTAACATCCAACTGCTCCAGCTCAAGATCAAAATGTGCTACAATTGACAATAACACACGGATAGAAGTATGTCGAACCACAGGTGAGAATATCTCAACAAAGTCAACCCCTTCTACCTGACTGAACCCCTTAGCAACTAGCCTAGCCTTAAAACGTATTTGCTCAGTTTCCGACAACCCTTCTTTCTTCTTGTAAATCCATTTACAACCCACAAGCTTCCTCCCTTCCGGTACCTTTACCAGTTCCCACACTCTGTTCTTGTAAAGAGACTGCATCTCTTCACCCATTGCGGCAAGCCATTGCGCAGACTCACTACAACTAATTGCTTGTTTATATGTGGCAGGTTCAAATGACTCTACATCATCAGCTACACTCAATGCATAACCTGTCATCGCATCAACACAGCAATTTCTTCCCTCCATCTCTTCAATCAATCTAACAGGCTTCTTGATAACTCGTTTAGGCATCTCAAGAATGGTGTCAGGTTGACTAGATGACCCCTGATTAGATTGCTCCACCTCATCCCCAGAGTTAGAATGAGTAGGAGTAATCTCAGGTTCAGGAGTACCCGGCACTGGAACATCAGCATCATCATCAATATATTGTACCCGAGGTAAATCAGCAATGGTAGACTGATGTACCTCAAGTACCCCATCTGTCTGTAATAAATTGTCTCCTTCCCTTCTCAAATCTGAAATCTCTGCATTTTTAATTGAATACATGGTGTTTTCATCGAAAGTAACATCCCTACTAAGAATGACCCGACCCTCCGAAGGTGAAAAAATTCTAAACCCCTTCACACCATCCCCGTACCCAACAAAACACCCCTTCTTGGCTCGTGGATCCAGCTTACCCTCAATAACATGATAATAAGCAACACAACCAAAAATCTTCAAATTCGAAAAAATTAGGCAGCTTACCACTCCAGATCTCAAACGGAATTTTGGAATCAATTCCAGAATGAGGACCCCTATTAATGACATAACAAGCTGTTAACACAGCTTCACTCCAGTACCTCCTCCCAAGCCCTGCATTAGAGAGCATGCATCGAACTCTCTCTAGCAGTGTCTGATTAACCCGTTCTGCTACACCGTTCTGCTGTGGTGTCTTCCTGACAGTATGATGCCGACCTATACCCTCATCTGCACAGAACTGATTAAACTCGTCTTTGCAAAACTCTAGCCCATTGTCCGTTCGTAGCTTCTTGATCTTCCTTCCTTGTCGATTTTCCACCAAAGCTTTCCATTGCTTGAAAACTTTGAAGGCCTCATCCTTTGACTTAAGCAACCTAAGCCATGTGTATCGGGACTTGTCATCAACAAATGACACAAAATAGTGGTAACCTCCCATACCTTCAACTCTAGATGGACCCCAGCAATCTGAATGGATGTAATCGAGCACTGCATCAGTAATGTGAGCACCCTTGCTGAACTTTGACCTGTGTTTCTTACCAAACACACAATGCTCACAAAATTCAAGGTTGGCAACCTTGACCCCGGATAGAAGACCCCTCTTGGACAATAGCTGCATCCCCTTCTCCCCCATATGACCAAGCCTCATGTGCCAAATCTTAGTCATCTCCTGGTGAGATACAGATGCGCAAACCGCAGAACTAGGCAGTGTAACACCCTCAAAAACATAGAGGGTGTTCCTTTTGATACCCTTAAGTACCAACTCAGAACCTCTGAAAATACACAACTCCCCATCTGAAAACACACCATTGTACCCCAAGTCATCCAGGGTACCCAATGAAATCAGATTCTTTCCTAAAGCAGGAACATGCCGTACATTAGTCAAAGTTAACCTCCGCCCATCAACAGTCCTCAACCTCATGGAACCAATACCTGTGACCTTACATGGAGCATTGTTACCGACTATAACCATACCCCCATTGCGAGGTTCATATGTATCAAACCAATCTCGACGTGGACACATATGGAACGAACACCCCGAATCTAGAACCCAGTTATCAGATAAATCATCAGACCTAGCAGAACTGACTAATGCTAAATCTTCCTCTGAATTATAGCTCTCATTCGGTTTCTCTTCAACTACAGCAGCCTGGGACTTGTTTTTCCTCACCGGACAATTATTCCTAAAGTGACCCGGTTCTTTACAGTAATAACATGTTTTAGTAGTAGTTTTACTAGATCCATCCTTGCCGTTTCCAGCACCCGACCCAGCATTGTTCCCCTTGTTAAACCCCTTATTCTTTTTAGACTTTCCGGACTTAACAAATAACCCACTACCATTATCCCCATTATCACTCGTAGCTTTCATTCTGAGTTCCCTAGTATGAAGTGCTGCCTTCACTTCTTCTAAGGTTATAGAATCCTTACCAACAACAAAAGACTCTACAAAATTCTCAAAGCTAGACGGTAGAGATACAAGTAAAATCAACGCAGCATCCTCATCATCAATTTTAACATCTAAATTACGTAAATCAAGCAAAATAGAGTTAAGTTTTTCTAGATGTTCCCGTAAGGAAGTACCTGACTGCATCCGGAGGCTAAACAACCGCTGTTTCAGTAATAATTTGTTGGTCAACGACTTAGTCATATACAATGACTCCAGCTTCAGCCACAATCCAGCCGCCGTTTCCTGATCAGCCACCTCCGTGATGATTTGATCATCAAGACTAAGTAATATGGTAGAGTGTGCCTTCTCTTCCATAACTTCTAACTGCGAGTCAGTCGGTCCGTCTCCTGACTCCGAAGTAGTACTCTTTGGAGCCAACGGACGCCATATCT